AATAATAGTGGTATTAACTGGTCTTCCCTGTAGGTGCATGGATATTATCCTATCACAGACAGCATTGTACCTCATGACTGATCTGGATATGTTCTTTTAGACAATGAATGCAACACCATTCCTCTTCAATTTGTCATTACTGCATAGTAAACCATATGGTTGAAAGATTCAAAATGGCCAATACTAGTCCATTTCAGCTCACTAATGCCAAAGATATCGATGTTTATGCATTCCATTACATTCTTGATAACTTCAAAATTTCCTAGATTCATGCTTCCTACATTCTGTGTTCCGATTTTCAAGGGATGTTTACAGCTATTTCTCTTCATTTTGAGTTGTGCCCCATCAGCAAATGAAGGTCCCGTGGGCTTTTCACCCACGGGCCTTACTCCATTCACATCAACATGGTCAAGTCTACTTTGAGGAGGCAGCTCTTCCCCAGTCACATTTTGAGTTACTTCTAACCTGAGGGGCTCATTTTCCGGACTATATCTGACAGTGTTTCTCTGCTATTAATAAGGTTTTCAGTGCCTAAATATTTGGAAGTAGTTTGTCACTCTTTCTAAACGCCTCGAAATTTAAAGTGACAGTTTCCACTTAAAACCAAACATCCACCACTTGTCTGTCAGTTTGTCATACTGTGGTGGCTTGTGAGTTGCTGTGATTCTGAAAGCTATGCCACCATTATTTTAAATACCAGCAGGGTCACCCATGGTGGACAGGTTTCAGATGAGCTTTCAAATGAAGGTGGACTAGAAAGAAAGTTTTGTGGATTAGACTGCTGTAATTCAGATGGTTCTTTTTAGAAGCAGATCACCAGGTCTTTCTTCTAGTCTGTCCTAGTTTGGAAATTTGGCTGAAACCCCTTCAGCATCATAGCAACACACGCCTTCACTGACAGACAGGTGTTGACTGCTTAGGAGATGTAGTGGGTGGGACTAAACCCAGGCCTCTGATATGGGAGACAAGACTTCTACCAATGAATCGTTCTTGTCATTGTTAGGCTCCATCGCATAGTCTCTGACTCATTAGTGGCCCTATATAGCCAGATGGTGCTTAACAACAGCATAGAGTTTCTGAGGCTATATATTTGTGGGAGCAGAAAGCCTTATCTCTCTCCCGCAGAGTGACTGATGGATTTGAACTGCCAACCTTATGACTAGCAGTCTAGTGCTCACCCTACCTCATCACCAGTGCTCCACTGAATTGTTGTTGTTGTTAAGTGCCATTGAGTCAGTTCCAACTCATAGAAACCCTGTATAACATTTCTGAGGAGCTTCTGGTGGGTTTGAACTGCCAAGCTTGTAGTTAGCAGTCCAGTGCTGATCCTACAGGGCTAAGCAAATGAAGGCCTCTGGGCAGGAGAGAAACCTTGAGCGTAATGGAAGCCATAGAGGTCTGGGTGTGGCGCTAAGTTAATGCACTGGACCACAAAGTCAGTTTGAATCGCAAGGTCAGTGGTTCAAGCTCCTTGGAAACCCTCTATAGGGTTGCTATGGGTCAGAACCAACTCAACAACACTCAACAACAACAACAATAGAAACTATTGGACCCTCACATACCCAGAGGCTTGGGAAGAATTCCTGTGGATGGTGGGAGGTTAGGTTCCATGCTACTGAAGAGCTTGTTGGCCCCTGGCTAGTATTTGGGGTATGGGTATAGTTCAGTGGATACACACTGGGCCTCTGGAGTCAGACAGCCCAGAGTTTACACTCTGCCATTTAGTGGGTATCATTCAGCAAGGCACCTGACCTCTCAAGCCTTCCATTTGGGGGACTAAAGATGGTATTACCTGACAGGTGGTTGTAAGAATTTGATGAGTTTATATGCATATGAGGTCCCTGGCATGTAGCAAACATCCCAAGAATGTTTAACTATTGTTTTTAGTTTGGGTAAGATCTTGCAGTAGCCGAAGCATGGGGTATGAAGCAATGGCCATTCCAATACAGTATTTTTAAAGCATGTAAAGGACCCAATGTAACTTTCTCCCATTGGCCCTCCCCTCCAGGTTCCCTGATCAATGCATACTGTTCCTCTCAGCAAGTCCTGTGTCAGATCGTGGGTGACCTCAGCCCTGAGCTGCCCAGCAATGTCACCTTTCACAGCTGGCAGGAGAAGGTCAGGCAGAACTATGGCTTCTACGTCGGCCTGGGCCTGGCCTTCCTGTCCAGCTTCCTTATCGGCAGTAGCGTCATCCTCAAGAAGAAAGGCCTCATGCGACTGGTGGCCACAGGGGCCACTAGGGCTGGTAAGCTCCTGAGAATGGGCAGGAATGGGACACAGAACAGCAGAGCCCCCAACCAGCTTCCCTTCATAGGCGCTGAGACAGCAGTCTGAGAGCTAGGCCTCAAATAGGTCCTAAAGATTTATTGTCAACCATATTGGGAAGCCCCCCACCAACAAAAGACTTTCCTTTATGAGAAATTGTTCAGTGTTTCCAATATTTCATGATGTGCTAATTGGGATGAAGATAGAGGAAGGTTATGGGACCGAGAACCAAAAATCCCAGGTCTAGTCCTGGTTTTACTTCTTTCCAGCACAGCTTTTCTGTGGAATGGGAATACAAATACCTCTGCCCATAATAGTGTCAGACACCTGTGTGCACTATCAAATTTGTGCTCCCTTATGGGCTATGTATGAAATAATTAAGTCTTTCTATAAGAGACTTGTTTGGAAAACAAGACGTGCATTCATGAAGTAATTCTTGAAAAAGAACCATGTACAACATGATTCATTCATTCACCCAACATTTATTATGTGCCTGTTGTGTGCCAGGTGCCATGAGTGAGACACGAGTGTCAGGTGTTCTCAGGAACATGGAGTTGAATGCGAGAGACAGAGAAGCACTTAGGCAGTTGTTTTATAAGTGCTATGATAAGGGAAATAGTGTGGCACTGTAGGATCAGCACTGGAATGTGAACCACAAGGTTGGCGGTTCAAATCCACCAGCTGCACCTCAGAAACCCTATACAGGGTTGCTATGAGTTGGAACCGACTCGATAGCACTTAATAACAACAATAACAAAAGCAGCATGAGAGCCCTGGTGTAGCTTTATATGATAAGCACTAGATTGCTAACCATAAGGTCAGCAGTTGAAACCCACCAGCCGCTCTCGGAAACTGTGAGTCTGAACCGATTTGACGGCCTACACCAACAACAATGGAACATCTTTGTGGGTGAGGAAATCCTAGGCAATTCTGTTAGAGGTGATCTCTAAGCTGAGACCTGAATGGTGAGGAGATAGCAAGGTGAAGAGGGAAGGAGGAAGACACAGTATTTCAGGCAGAAAGAAGGACATCTGCAAAGGCTCAGAGGTGAGAACGTGAGTGAAACACGGAGCGGAAAGTTGTTTGGAATGGCAGGAACATAGACAGCTGAAAGAGCAGCAAGTAGAGGCTGATCACAAAGGATCTTGTCAACTGTGTACCTCAGAGATGGAGTGCAATTACATGTGATTAAAAGGGGAATGGATAGTCTGATTTAGGATTTGAAAAGTTTGCCTGGAATAGAATGGATTGAGGGACAAGACTGGAGGCTGGAAGACTAGTTAGGGGAGAGAGACCACAGAACCTGGGCTTGCCAAATGGCAATAGGAATGGAAAGAAGCGGTGCATTGAGAGATAGTTTGTAGAACTTGCAGGGTTTTGGTGTTGACTGACTGCAAGGAGAGGATAAAACAAAGGAGGGAAGAATGACTCAGGTTTCTGACTTGAGCAACTGTGTAAATGATAGAGCTGTTTTCTGAGATGAAGAATGCAGGAGGAGCAGGTTTATGGGAAGATGATACATTCAAGTTTAGACATGTACATTTGATGTGTTTGTGGAATACACTGGGGCTTTGGAATCAGACTACTGAGGTTCTAATTTTAGCTCCTCAACTCCTGGTGATGTGATCCTGGGAAAGGAAAATATTCTTTCCGTGCCTCAGTTTTCTTGTCTATAAAATGGGGATGAGAATAGTGCCAGCTTCAAGAGTTGTTAAAAAGACAGGTGATCTGGTTAGGAAGCGACTTGGCACAAAGTAAGCAGTAGTATTTGTATTACTATTGTCTAGGTGAAGGCCTTGGCAGACATTGGATATTCAGGTCTAGAGCCAGGTGTGCTCTAATGTGGGGAGATGTGAGGTGCAGGAAAGAAGTCGGGCAACAATGGTTGGTGTTCTTTCCCCTTCACTATGGATAGGAGTTCAAAAGTCCAGAGGCCTCCCAACGCGCCAGGAAAATGCCTGCTCATGCTGGAGGGAGAGCTAGGGAGTCACCGTCTAGCAGAGGACTTAATAGAAATCTTATTCCCCAGGCCGAAAAAATCAGCTTCTTCCTACCAATTTACTTCTGAGATTTCAACTTAGTCCTTCTCAGAGTTCTTAACTTTTGTCTCAAAAAGTAACATATGCTGTCTTGGTTTTCACAGAACCATCCTCATCACCATCATAGGCAGTATTGATTATTGACTATGCCTGACTCTGAGTGCACAGTGTGAGCAAAATAGTCAGTCTCTGGCTTCTGGGAGCTTTTATTTTAGTGAAAGAAATGCCAGGAAATATATAACAGATGAACTCAGATAATAATTAGAGGTTTAAATCCACTGTGAGGTACCTCAAAAGAAAGGCCTGGTGATCTATTGCTAAATAATCAACCACTGACAACTCTGTGGAGCCCAGCTCTGACACACAATGGATCAGTCTGAGTTAGAATTGACTTGGGAACAATTGTATTTTTGCTGTGGTTGATGTTGTTTTTAGATGCAATGAAGAAGAACTGTGTGTTATAACAGAGCTTTCTAATAGAGATAAGGGAATCAGGGAAGACATCTTAAAGGAGACAGTATTCAAACAGAGGCCTGTAGAATGACTGTAGATTTTAGGCAAATATTGTTAAGAAGAATATTACACACACAGGGAAGAACATGTGCAAAGGCCATGAGGCAGAAAATGGCTTACCATGTTTGAAGAAATAAAGAAAGCCTGAGCAACTAGATTGTAAACAAGTAGCATGAGGTCGAGACTATGAAAAGCTGTGTATAGATCATTATCTTAAGAGCAATTGGCCGTTATCACCAGCTATAAACTGAGGCATGGCATAATTTGATTTACATTCTTTAAAGACCACTGGCTTCAGTGAGAGGAAGGATTATAAAAGGGCAAGAGGGGAAGCAAAGAAGCCACTTACAAACTGATTCTCAGCCGAGGTCAGAGGTGATGGCACACTGCAGTGGGGTGGTAGTGGAGCAGACATAGCAAGATCTATTGTACGGATAGAACCAACAGGATGGACTAGATGCGGCAGGTGGGGAGAACAAGAGATCAAAGGAAATGCCCTCATTTTAGACGGAAGCAACTGGGCACATGGAAGTTCTGTTTACTGAGTTTTGGGAGTACTTAACATCAAGATTTCCATTTAGGATTGAGTCTGACATGTGAGAGATCTGAGAAATGTCAAGTGGGCAGTTGAATTTACACATCTAGGCTTAGAAGAAGGACCGCTGCTCCTTCGGAACCCTATACAGAGTCGCTTGGGTCAGAACTGACTCGACAGTACTTAACAACAACATATAGATGGTATTGAAAACCTTGGAACTGGATGAACGCGCCCTAGAGAGGTGCCAGAACCAAGCCCAGAACACATTGAAAAGAGGATGGGAGTGAAGGTAGAGTTAGGAGAGGTGCCGAGAAAGTGTGGACAAACTCTAACTTGGTGTCAATTTCCTTCTACAGTGGATGGAGGTTATGGCTACCTGAAGGATGGAATGTGGTGGGCTGGATTTCTCACCAGTAAGTGGATTCTTTGCTGTTAATGGTAGTGACCTATTGATAGCAAGGGTTGTGATGAGGGAGAGTACATGGGGCATTTCTGTCTCTATGTTGGAATGTGTAAATCTGAAACCTAGATTTCTGGGGAAACACCTTTGATAGTCTTTGTGGGTAGAACATCTTAGCCCCATCTCAGATCACTTTCTCAACCCAAAGTCAGTCTTTCATCAATGAAGCATCTATCCCTGAAGCACTTATGCAAAGCTGCTGATGAAGGCATAATTTTTTCTCAACTACCCTTGAACACAGGGTGATAATATCACTGCCTTGTTGGAATCTCTTGATTTTTAAATAACATAGTCAAGGCTGGAACTCCTAAACCAAGTTCCCTGTTGTTAATTGTCGTCAAGCCATTTCCAACTCATAACGACCCTATATTGGGTTTCTGAGGAGTGGCTGATGGGTTTGAACCACTGACCTTGTGGTTAGCTTTCCTACAGCACCATGCCAATTTCCATACTCACAGGCAATTTGCTGGCCCATTTAGACTACCTAAGGAGTACTAGTTATTGCAATGGATTGCAAAGTCAGTTTGATCTGCAAGGTCAGAAATTCAAGCTCACCAGCCAGAACCAACTCCATAGTACTTAACAACAAGGTTTGCCCACATTTGCACACTCATGTATTTCCCCCACTTATTCCCCACTTATCACCCACCTTCTCTGGCTTTCAAACCCTAAGGTTAAAGCCAGCTTTCCATTGATAATTTCCTAAGTCAGTTGTGATTCTAGTTTTAGTCAGAGTTTTCACATTCTCACCTGCTTCCTAGAAAAGGCACCTATAGGGGTTTGCAAACTGGAAACTCAAATGGGGGAATTTAGGCCCCTTGGGAATGTCAGAACTTTGCTGACCACCTGTCTGTTATTTGAAAGTGTCTGCTAGTTCCCCTTAGAAAGAGGAGTCTGTGGACCAATTGGAGAATCAATATGCGTAATTTAAAAAATTTGATAATTAGTACTTTTAGAACTGACTTTAAAGATTCAGGCCAAAGCATTGGCAATCTATGAGATTCACTTAAATGAGTCTTTAAAAAAACGGACACACAAAAAAGAAGAAGAAAATGACCTATTAAAAACATAATAAAATAAAATAACTGGACCTTGACTGGCAGCCAAGAGACCTGAGGAGCAAGAAGGCTTCTACCTACAAACTTGTCATGGGACGTTGGAACTGGGTCTTAGTTGCCGCATCTTTAAAATGGAAGACTCTGATCAGTTAGTCTAATTCTGACCTCTTCATCAGAGCCTCCAGGGAAACAGCATCAGGTTCAAGACTTTAAGGACTGCTGGTCTGGGCTTCTTTGAATGGATGAAGAGGGATGGAAGGAGTCTCTATGCAGATTCATCTGGGCTGGGATGGTATATCTGAGTCACACTAACATCCATTCTCCCTTAATTTCCTAGTGGCCGCTGGAGAAGTTGCCAACTTTGGGGCATACGCATTTGCTCCTGCCACAGTCGTCACACCTCTGGGGGCGCTGAGTGTGCTCATAAGGTTATCGTCATTTCTCTCATTGTCTTTGGCTCCTTCTTGTTATCCATTTGTTGAGGCTTGAAACTGCCAAGTGGGATCAGAATGCCTGACTTGGCAATCAGTGACTTGGTCTTGATTCGCTGGGTGGTGCAAATGTTTAGCATGCTTGGTTACTAACCAAAAGGTTGGAGGTTTGAGCCCACCCAGAAATGTCTCAGAAGAAAGACTTAGTAATCTACTTCTGAAGAGTCACACATCGAAAAACTTGAGTCCAGTTCTACTCTGACAGACATGGGGTCACCATGAATTGGAGACAACTGGTATTTGGTATATTACTAGTCCCTAATTACAGTGAACCCACAGTGGATTCATTTGCTTAGTGAAGGACTGAGTTCCCTGCTCCCTCTCAGGCTGAGAGTAATCTGTCAGCAGCATTAAGGGAGAATGTAATGTGTTCAGTGAGTAGACAAGAGTCGAAGTTAAGTCAGTGTGCTTTGAAGGGAGCTCTTAATTCTTCTGTTTTAGATATACTTCCCATTTATAACATGGAAGAAATCCACATTCATTTCTGTTCCTTCATGAATGAGTCTCTATTTCAAACATGTTTGGGAAGATATAGAAAGTCTTCCACATGAGGGAGTGTAGTGAGTCGCAGTCTGTTGCTCTTTAACATAGTGCTTGCCCAGTCTCCATTTCTCTTTAGGACCATGGGACAGACATGACTGGTCTAATCACTCTCTCCCATTTCCATGTGCAGTGCCATCCTCTCCTCATATTTCCTGAGAGAGACTCTGAATCTGCTGGGAAAGCTGGGCTGTGTGATCTGTGTGGCCGGAAGCACAGTGATGGTGATACACGCCCCTGAGGAAGAGAAGGTCACCACAGTCATTGAGATGGCGACCAAAATGAAAGACACAGGTGGGCCCCAAGCATCGGTGAGGGATGGGCCATGTGGATGGTCTGATTGAGTTCTCACCATTTCAAGAACTTTTAGCTAGAGGAAACAGCAAACTAAAGAAATTTAGTGGGCTGGTACTTGTTAGCAAGGCTAGCTTAAAAAGGCTTCCTGGCCTGATAAATAAGAATGCCATTTACTAACTCTTCATTATGTGCCAGGTGTTGTTTTAAATGTTTTATGTCCATCATCTCATTGACTCCCTATGAGGAAAGTCCTAGTATTAATTCTATTTTATACATGAGGGAGTTTTCCCAATTTTAAGTTACAAAATTAGAATTGGAACCCATGTTTGACTCTAGGGCACAAGCACTTAATGCTGCATCCTTTTGCCATGGGTATGGGGTGCTAGTGTGAATCCCACTATCTAAAACTCAAGTTATCTCTCTCCCTCCTCTCCTGAAGGGTACATCGTGTTTGCTGTGCTTATGCTGGTGTTCTGCCTCATCCTCATCTTCGTCATTGCCCCACGTTATGGGCAGAGGAATATCCTGGTTTACATCGTCATCTGCTCTGTGATCGGGGCCTTCTCTGTGTCTGCCGTCAAGGGTCTGGGCATCACCATTAAGAACTTCTTCCAGGGATTGCCGGTTGTACGGCATCCCCTCCCCTACATCCTCTCCCTCATCCTGGCCCTTTCACTCAGCACACAGGTCAACTTTCTCAACAGGGCACTGGACATCTTCAATACCTCCCTGGTGTTCCCCATCTACTATGTGTTCTTCACCTCAGTGGTGGTTACCTCCTCCATCATCCTCTTCAAGGAGTGGCACAGCATGTCTGCCGTGGACATTGTGGGCACCCTCTCTGGCTTTGTCACCATCATCCTGGGTGTATTCATGCTTCATGCTTTCAAGGATCTGGACATCACCTCAGCTAACTTGCCACACATGCACAAAAACCCCACCCCACCCCCAGCTTCTGCCTCAGAACCCACTGTCATTAGACTGGAAGATAAGAACGTTCTTGTGAATAATATGGAACTAACAAGTACCCCATCTCCAGAAGAGAAGCCAAAAGTATTTATAATCCATTCTTAAAACTTGGAATACACAGCGGAGAGGTTGAGCCCTGTGGTACAGTCTGACCTCTGGATTTCAGAACCACCTGGCTATTTTCAGTACATCTGCGTTGCCAATTACCACTGGGCTAACTTCCCTTGAGAATTTCATTTATACCTCATCACTGTTTCTAGGAGAAAAATCCTTACCCAATGAGGGGTGGTGGTGAACTTTCTGGAAACACAGCCTCAGTGACCAAATAACCCTAGTTTACACTGGTGCCAGCAGGTCCCTTGGGCCTTCCTTCCCACTTGTCCCCTTGGTATCATCTCTGGCTGCATATATTGTTGGGAAGAAGATAGAAATTGACCCGTTGAATGTAGCAGATTCTGAGGACTTACTGAGATGCTAGTTGTCATGAAATGCTTAGCATCAATTCTTATGCTGAGATTGAATCATGTTCCTAGGATTCCTAAGGAACCCAAGGATGAGGTGCAGATGACTCCCAGATGCTCAGAGATGGACTGGCTTGCCTCCCTATCCAGAGCTGACAGAGATGCAACTAATGTAAAATTTCTTGTTGCTTTTGCCACATATGGTTTAGAGATACAAGCAAGACCTCAGCTGACCTTCTTACTGTGAAAACCATCTGATGTCTCAGGGAAAAATGTTGACCCACCCATTTTGCCGAGGACTCCAGCCTGAAGTCAGCGTCTTTGTTTCCATCCATCCCATCTCCATCCCACTCCTTCTCTCTCTGTTTCTCAGCATCCTAAGGAGTCAGTCACTGAGACATTCATCTTGGAACCCAGAACAAAACAATGAAAAGATGCTTCACAGCCAAGCTGCTGGCCACATCCGTGTTTCAGATCACCTTACTCTGGAAAGAGAACAGCAACTGGGCTGCTCTTAGAAATGGCCTGACTATTGAGCTAGAATTTGTCAGAATGCATTTTCCTTTTCCTCAAGGAATAAAACCAAAATATGATTTGGGGAGGTGAGAAAAATGTTAGGCACAACACCAGGATTTGGCATAAAGCAGACTTAGGTCCTCTGGAAATCAAGAGCTAACTTCTTTGTTTACTCTGGCATCTAGCCAAGAACCTGGGCAAAAGGGCTCGGGAGTAATTTCTGGCCTGCAGCCTCAGAAGCTTGGCTGCTGGAATTGGTTTGAGCCTCAGTGACCACTCAGAGGCACAGGCTTGCCATGAGATGCATCCGGACTGTTGACCAGATTGTCACAAAGTCTCCAACTCCACTGATGAGCTCCCTCCGCTGGAAGGCAGCATGCCAGGACTGCTCCAACTCCACCTGCTGTGGGGACTGCCTTTAGTCCCCTCACATTTGGCCAGAGGTATCAAAAAAGCAAAAGCAGATGGAGATGTAATTTGTGTCTCTTCCCTTCCCATCGTCTTTCTAGCTCTGAGTGTGAGAAGTGCTGTGAGGCCCATGGGGAATGAGGAGGCCAGGACAGCTATAAAGAGGGAAGATTCCATCCTTAGAACCTCTAGTTGGTACAGAGCCTCCCCTACACTTCCACTTACCTGCACCCTGTGTGTATGTCTTCTGTCCTAAGCATAGCCCAGCTCAGACCCAACTCTTACTGACCTTGGAGTGTCAAAGACTCAGCTGGCCAACAAACAGACAGGCTCCCTGCTCCTCCAGCCTCAAGTCCTCAGTTTTTAATCATTGAAGATTTCTGTCTGTAGCTAAAATCAATGCAACACATCGGACCTTAAGGGACAAAATAAGCTGAGGGCCCTAGTATGGTCTACAGGGTCAAGAATAAAGACTTGATATTTGCGTCTTGGTCTTCTTTAGGCACAGAATGATTAAATTGGTTTCTCTAGTACCAGAGGGCTTCGCCCTGATCTATGAAGAGCTATACCAGTTACCCAGTTGCCATTGAGTTGACTCATGGTGTCCTTGTGTGTGTCAGAGGAGAATTGTGCTCCATAAGAGTTTCAGTGGCTGATGTTTTGGAGGTAGACTGCAAGGATTGTTTTCTCAGTTCCTCTGGGTGGATGGATGCCAATCACCAACCTTTCAGTTAGCAGCTGTTTATGTTAACTGACTCCCAGGGGCTCTCAAAGGGTGCCCCTGCCAAAAAAGTCCCCACAGTGCCTTTCACAAGTCACTCCCAACCCAGAGTTAGTTGTCATTAATTCCTTGTCAATGCCTGACCCCTACTAGGTGCCAACCACAGTGCTAAGTGCTTCATGAGAATTCTTTCTTCAAGTCCTCACAAATTCCCCCTGAAGATACATTTTTATCCCATTTTATATATGAGGAAAGAGACAGGTTAGATCACTTGCCCAAGGCCATACACAAGAAGCATCAAATTTCTTGTCTGGCTCTAAGTCCACTTTCTCTGCCACCAGGTCACACCATGTCTCTCTAAAAGATTAAACTGGACTGGACCCCGGTTACATGATCTGACATGACTTTGTTCATCTGTTTTCTTTTCATCTATTTGTGTTTCTCTTATCTGGATATAAGCTCCATGTTGTGGTTGTTAAGTGCTGACAAGTCAGTTCCAATTCACAGCAAACCTACATAGGGTTTCCAAGTCTTTAAATCTTTGTAGGAACAGAAAGCCTCATCGTTCTGCTGTGGAGGGCTGGTGGGCTCAAACTGTTGACTTGTGGTTCACAGTCCAGTGCTTATCCCAGAGTCACCACGCTGCTATATGCTTCATGGGAGGTGGTTTTTATTTTCTGCTTATTGTCTGTGCCTAGCACATAGTTGGCATTCAAAAGCTTTTTACTGAAGGAAGGAGCAGCACTGTTCCAAACAGTCTTTCCAAGCCCATACTCTCTCGGGGGCCAACTCTTAACCCAAAGCAAAGCCTAATAGAACCTTGGAATATTAAGCAGAAAAACTCAAAATCGAATATTGTCAAGCTTTTGAGTATGTGACCTGTGCCAGACACCGTTGGGTACTTTCACACAGAGCACTTCATAAATTATTGTGATACTTTTCAGGTAGATATGATCCCAAATTATATAAAGAAAAGGAGCTGAGTTCTGGAACTTGTCTAGGTTCATGCATCTAATAAGGAGTAAGAGTTGGGATTTAGGTCTGTCTTAGGTCTGTCTAAGCAGACTCTGTGTATAATACTGCTGAACAGTGCATGAGTATCAGCTCAGAGACTTACCAACAGAGGGGCACAGTGCCTGGTGCAGATGAGAGCAGTAAGCAAGCAGGGATGTTTGCTTGGGCAGTAACTGCATGAGTAGTCATTTCAGTAGCTAACACATTTGTGTCTCACGCCTTTGGTGTCCCTAACCAAAGGAACCAAACCCACTATCACAGTGGATTGCAACTCATGGGGACTCTGTTGTTAAATGCTGTTGAGTCAGTTCCGACTTTTACCAACCCATTCTAGGGTTTCTGAGGAGTGCCTGGTGAGTTTGAACCACTAACCTTGTGATTCAAACTGACCTTGAGGTCCAGTGCTTATCCTACAGCACCACACCAGGACTCCATGGGGACCCTAACACAACCTCATAACCATGACAGTCACTATCAAAGACCTTACCCAGGATTTTTGTGAGAATGAGAAAACCAATGTAAGGAAGGTAGCAGAGTTTTGAGTGCTCAGTAAATGTAACCTCCTATCCTGGTGTGGCACTGCAGGATAATGCCCTGGCCTACAAGGTCCGTTTGAGCTGCAAGGTCAGCAGCTCAAACCCACTGGCTGCTCCTTGGAAATCCTATATGGGGTCTCTGTGAGTCAGAACCAACTCAAAGGCACTTAACAACCTCATAGATAGTGCCCCATCTTTCTTAGAAAACTTCAGAATTGAGGTAGGTGGGAATCAAACTAGGGAAAAAAGAAGGCATCTTTTTGTAAACTGGGAAACATAAAATGAGTGATACTTGTGTTTTTAACAAAGGGTTCTCCAGTCAGAAAAACGCTGGTCCCTGGCCTGTCCATCCAGCCCCAAAGATGGTGGGCAAGTCTCTCCCTTTACGGGTACAGGAGCACCAGCAACAAGGTGCCTTCTAGACCCAATCGTGTAGGTTAGAAAACCTATCAGTAAATCTCAGGCTCATTCTGCCTTAAAGATCCAAGTCCTAATTAAACTAGAACAACCTGTATCCAGATGCAAAGAGAAACAACCCCCTCTACTGGTCATGGGAAAACATGGGGCTGTTCTGTCTGCAGGGAATCCTGGTGGCACTGATGTTAAGTGCTTGAATGTGAACTGAAAGGTCGGGAATTCAAACCTACCAGCCACTTCATAGGAAAAAGATGTGGCAGTCTGCTTCTGTAAAAATTACAGCCTTAGAATGGGGCAGTTCTATTGTGTCTGATAGCTTTGCTATGAGTTGGTGGCAATGGGTTTGGTTTTCTTTTTCCTATGGCTAACAGTACTAGCTGCTGACACACTGATTCTGATTCATTATGACTTCATGTGTGTCCAAGTCGAAGTGTACTCCTTAGAGTTTTCAATAGCTTCTTTTAAAAAAAAAGTAAATCACCAGATCTCTCTTCTGACGCATCCCCACGTGAACTTGAACCTCCAACCTTTCAGTAGCTGAATGCATTAATCATTTGCACCACTGAGGAATATTTTCTACAACAAAAGAGCCACCATACTGATTTTATAGGTTAGGCTGAAGGTCTCTGTGGGAACTCTTTCCTTCTGAGACAGTGTCTACATGATCCTATCCAGCCTCAGTGGTGGTGGTGGTAAAGTGTGCTGTCCAGTTGGGTCTGACTCATAGTGACCCCATAAAGGGTTTCCATGGCTGTAAATCTTTGTGGGAACAGAAAGCCTAACTTTTCTCCTGCAGAGCATCTTGTGCACTCGAACTGCTAACCTAGCGGCTGTTGTTGTTGTTGTCAGGTGCCATCGAGTCAGAACCGACTCATAG